TTGGGGGGTTCAGGATGGGGATTTGGGGTGTTTTTGGGGTGTCTCAGGGAGGGTTTTTGGGGGGTTTCAGGAATGTTTTTGTAGGACGTTTTTGGGGTGTCTCAGAGATGGTTCTGGGTAGTTTTATAGAAGCTTTTTTAGGGTGTTTTTGGGGTGTCTTAGGGAGAGTTTCTAGGGTTCCTTAGGGAGTGGTTTTGGGGTGTCTCAGGGAGGGTTTTTGGGGTGTCTCAGGGGGGTGTTTTGGGGTGATTTTCAGGTATCTCAGGGGTGGTTTTGGAGTATTTCAGGGAGGTTTTTGGGGTGTCCCAGGGAGGGTTTTTGGGGTGTCTCAGGGGCGGTTTTGGGGTGTCCCAGGGGTGTTTTTGGGGTGTCTCAGGGGCGGTTTTGGGGTGTCCCAGGGGCGGTTTTGGGGTGTCTCAGGGGTGGTTTTGGAGTATTTCAGGGAGGTTTTTGGGGTGTCTCAGGGAGAGTTTTTGGGGTGTCCCAGGAAGGGTTTTTAGGGTGTCTCAGGGGTGTTTTTGGGGTGTCCCAGGGGTGGTTTGGGGGTGTCCCAGGGGTGGTTTTGGGGTTACCTGGAGCAGCTGGGGGTTCTCCTGGCCCAGCTGCTGCAGCAGCGCCGGGAGCAGCGCCGGGTTCTGTTGGATCACCTGGCGCATGTTCTGGAACTGCGGCTGCTCCCGCAGGAACTCCAGGGGGTTCTCACCTGGGGGGCGGGGCCGGCAGGTGAGGGGGGGGTGGGGCTTTGCTAAACCACACCCCTTTCTTTGATGGTCACACCCACCCCTCTGTCAATCACACATCAGGCCACACCCACAAAAAGCGTGTGGTTAATCCAGGCCACACCCACAAGGGAGGGTGTGGCTTATTTAGGACACACCCTCAAAGTGGGTGTGACCAATCCAGGCCATGCCCCAACACGGAATACCTTGGGTTTCAATGTTGGATTTTGACCCCACCCATAAATGGGAGGAGCTCAAAGGGCGTGTCCCCACCCACTGAGCAAGAGGGAGGAGCTTCCAGGGGTGTGGTCAGTGCCAGCCACACCCCCCTGGGTGGTCCCAGGTGCCCCCCAGACCCACCTTCGGGCGGGGGCTGCTCCGGGGGGCGGCTCTCCTGCACGGGCGGGCGCTCGGGCTCGGGGCTGCCAGGAATGCCCTGGGGGGGTGAGAGGGGCACCAAGGGGGGGTCAGGGCACCCCAGGACCCCCCAAGACTCCCCTCATTGTGGGGGGGGGCTCCAGGACCCCTCCCCAGCCTGGTCTGAAGCCTTGGAGACCCTCCCAGGACCCCCCAACTGCTCCCCCCCTCCTCTTCCCCAGCCCTCCCTGACCCCC